GAGAGAGAAGAGAGAGAGAGAGAGAGAGAGAGAGAGAGAGAGAGAGAGAGAGAGAGAGAGAGAGAGAGAGAGAGAGAGAGAATGGAAATAAGATAATAAATCGGAGTCTTCGGTACTCCAAATTCTTCCTACTTTCCTTTCCTACTCTCGAGTGTCGAAGACATTTTTAGATCAATGAATGTTGTCAATGTATGCATCGCTTAAGATTCGCGCTTCGCGAATCGGCCAAGCAAAGCTCGATTTGCGCTGTTCGTCTCATGAACATCGTCGGAAAACGGCACTGAACTAAAAGTATTACACCAATTATAATTTGTTTTAATATATACTTTACACTCGAGATATTCGACGAAGACATTTACATGACGATCGCGATGAGGATAGCGTAAACTGTAGCCTGAATATACTGTCGATACGCGAATTGACGAATTTGAAAGGGAGGGGGTTTGCCACTGCGGGGTTGCTTTATGAATCGATAATAATCAACGGTCATTTTGTCAATGATTTATCGTGCTGCTGACTGACTTGAACGTCGGAAAACTTTGATGTTTCAAAATAAAAATAAGAATCGAACATTGTATATCTTCTTGCTTCGTACTTTATACGCCTATTTATAAGGCTATAATTTATTTTTATTATTATATTTTAATTAATATCAATTTTTATTGGACCGCTAAATTTCAAATCGAATGAGACAATGCCACAGTGGTCTAAGCTGAATCACGGGTGCTTTTAAATAATTGTGCGTAAATTTATATGCTATGAATGTAATTCTTCGATTGCGATCGAAATTTTTTCAGAAATTTTGTCTCATTTGGTTTTATATTTTAATTATTTATTTTTTGTCAAGGTTTGTTTAATGTAATTTATATAGTAAGATATATGTATACTCATAACAATCAGGTACAGAGGTAAGTATAATACAATATTTCTACATAAGATATAACTACATCCAATGGTTTAATTGCTATTTGTATCATATACACTGCTTGCAATATTGAATATTGCAGTGCAATGTTGCAGAAACATTGCAAAGACTTTTTTGCAATATTACTTCAACAATATTAAGTACAAATAGAAAATGTTTACTCAGTATTATCGATTTACATACGATGATAAAGTAAAATATACCAATATTATCTGTGCTGATACTGTGATCAGCTACTCATAATTCAGATAAAAAACTTTTTAATGAAAATTAAATCGGTGACAGATGGATGTCAAAGATCTGTTCGGATGAGCGACTTATGCCTAATTTCTTCACTTCAAGATAAATTGCGGATAACTTTACCCAAGAGATATCACGTCTGTGAAGCTGGCCCCTCATTGTCAAAATTTTGAAAAAATAAGCAGAGTTTTGGTTGCCCCCCGAAGAGTTCTAGAGTTCTCTATCAAATTTAGGAAGAATTCTATTGATTAAAGCAGCGAAAACACCATTTGAAATTACGGGGGGGCCAACTTCACGATTCTGCAACTTTGAAGAGCTATAACTTCTAAACCGTTCATTTTAGCACGTTGGTCTATAGAGGACAATCGATAGAACTCTTTGGGGGGCTAACAGAACTCTCAAGAAAACACCGAATTTCCAAAATTTTTTTCCAAAAAAATTTTTTTTCTGAAAGTTTTTTTGGAAAAAAATTTTGGAAATTCGTTGTTTTCTTGAGAGTTCTGATAGCCCCTCAAAGAGTTCTATCGATTGTCCTCTATAGACCAACGTGCTAAAATGAACAGTTTAGAAATTATAGCTCTTCAAAGTTGCAGAATCGTGAAGTTGGCCCCCCCGTAATTTCAAATGGTATTTTCGCTGCTTTAATCAATAGAACTCTTCCTAAATTTGATAGAGAACTCTAGAACTCTTCGGGGGGCAACCAGAACTCTGCTTATTTTTTCAAAATGTTGACAATGAGGGGCCAGCTTCACAGACGTAGAGATATCTATATCTCCATTGTATTCTGGGAGATATTTCCTGGATAAAGTTATCTAGAAGTGAAGAAATTGGATATTAAATAAAAATAACAAAAATGTCAAACCAACGATGGAAAAAAAGAATAAGAGGGAACTAAGTTGTGTATAAGATCTATAGTAGCCAATAATGGCAAATAGATATCTGATAACCGATCGGTATCACTTTGTTTATTCTAACCGAACTCCTGTCTATTAATGTATATCATTTCAGATATCATTGTTTTGTGAAATGAAGGTCTAATAGGGTATAAAATATATTTTTTCCTATCAAATTCATGTTCCAATCAGAAATAGTTTCTCAAAATAATATCGTTTTGATATTAAAAATGTAAGTCAAAAATTTTCGAAATTTTTGTTAATTCCAATATGGATTTTTTTACTCCAATTTCGAGTAATTTTTGATCTTTATATAATATCAAAGTGATATTATTTTGAGGAGTTATTTCAATGATTTTCGAAAACGTATCTATTTTAATAAACTTTGGTTGTAGAGCATGAAAAAATATTAGACCAATATATTTTTTTAGGCATATCTCGAGGTTTAGGGGGAAAAATCCTCTTTCAAACAAAAATCGTTTATTTTTGTTTCGAAGTGAATATCGTCATAAAAGATAAAAAAGATTTTCCAGAATAAAAATTGAATAGCTCCAAGCAGTACTTTAGATAGAGTTATAATAAAAATATTTTTTTTTAAATAAATAACTTTTATTATAAATAAATAATTTTAAAAAAATTGTTTTTAGTTATAGTTCTAAAAAGAATACTCTGAAGTCATTCAATTTTTATTTTGAAAAATTATAGTTATTCGATGATATTCGTTTCAAAAGAAAAAAATCGGTTTTTTCGAAAGAATTTCACCACTTAAACCTCGAGATAAGCACAAAAAAAGATATAAATCTAATATATTTTTATATTCTACAACATATATTCAAAACTCATTGATGAGGGTTAGAACAAAACCGTTGAGAATTACGAGATAGCATTGTTAGTTATCTATTATTTTTCATCATTTAGATCGAAAATATCATCCTCAGAAAAATTAAGTATATACAATATTACAGAAATAATATAATATTATATATATATATATATATATAATTTCCAAATAATTCAAAATAATTTCTCTTCTACTAAAATGCCGTAAGAAAAAATTTTAAGTTCACAAGAATAAATAAAAATAGAAACATACCGTGATGTAGGCTTTTCTATTCGAGAGATCGTTCAAAATAGGTAGATCCAGTATTTCTACACATAATGGTTGGAGTTGCGCGAAAACCGTAGTAAAAACTTGAAAACTTATGACAAAAATCTTTGACTATACATAAATATGGACCGCCAATAACTAACTTCAAACAGTGGCGACTCCATTAAGTACTAAAAGTTTAGATATGTACACCTAACAGCAAGCTTTTATTACCGTTAAAGAAAAAAACCTGAGAACGGCCATCTCAGCCTTTCTCCTGTAATGTTTCGAATTCCTGTACACTAGCGGCACCAACGTTCATTTTCGTTCTGCGGGAACTACGTATGTATGTCCCAGTACCATATTCATTTTTGCGACACGTCGATAACGTCGACGTATACGATTTTATCGACGTGTCGCAAAAATGAACGTGGGTCGTAGTTTCACAGCTCGAAAATGGACGATGATGCCGCTAGTATACGATGAAGCATTACAAGAGAAAAGCCGGGACGGCCGTTCTCAAGTTTCTCTCCATTTCTCTCTGCTTGTACTTTTGCACACTTTTGCATTCAGCATTTTCATTTTCTCTCTTTTCAACGTGTGTGTAAATATATATTTATATCATTCTAAATTCAAAAATTTGTGGGAATTTCAAGCAATACGAATAGACAAAATTTTATTATTATGTAACGAATTTCGCAATTTTTAAATAAAATTCTAGAGATTTTAAGTTTTTTTGAGAAATATCTGGAAATTTCTAGAGAATTTGTAACTAATGTAGAGATTTTTTCTATCAGCGAGTTGGCACACCATGCTTAGTAATTGTGTTGGTGATCATTGGCAGCTATATGGAGTATATGTTGTTTATATTGTATTTCTAATTTATTTTTTATGCAAGTGATCAGGAGACAAAACTTACATTAACAGCCGATCAATATTGACGAATGATTGGCAAATAATAAAAAACGGTACGTATATTTTCTTTTTCTAACTACAAATCATTAATTACGATGAATCAATTGTTATTCTTGTGATAGATTACGATCTAATCTATACATTTCAGCAGTTATTCGCTACCGACAGAGCTCGGTAAACAAACTGTTACTTTTTTAAGATATATAAACTTGTAGGGGTCGATAAAAAACTGGTACTGATAATTTATTTAAAATAAAAAATATAACGTAGATTCCCAAAATTTATTTATAATATAAAATGAGAAATAAATTTCCAAAACTTACTTGAAATATAAAATAAGAAATATGTTCTCAGTGACACAAATATTGTACTTAGGAGAATCAAAAGGTCTTTTTGCCAAAATGATTACGAATGATTGTAAAGCTACGATAGGTAGATGAAAGACAAAGGTTTCATAGATGTTTTTACATCTACATATTGAAGAATCCTTTGATAGAATTTTGGCTAGGGCTTATAACACACCAACTACACAAACCAAGTGATCCTCTCTTAAAGTAATTAATTTTTTTTTCTTAACAGTCCATTACATACATTAACATATTTTATACGTAACATTATTTATAAAAGCATACCAAGTTCTAATAGCTGCATTAAGAATTTTTATCGTCTTATTAATAAATGAAATGACACACTTAGAAAACAATAAATTATTAGTATTATTGGATGTGATCTCTCTTGTTATTGATGTGTCGACGGAGTTGGCACTGAGAGGTATTTGTA